CGTTAAATACCTTTGGAAAACATTCAAATCCTCCTCCTGTGACATTAAGTAATGCCAAAGACAGAACTCTATCCGGCACCATTACCGCAAGTTTGCAAGCTATCATAGCTCCTGTTAATGGAACAAATGTAAGCAACACCTAAAGAAAATTGGTTCAATAACCAAAGTTGAAAAAAAGAAATCAAAGAACATTGTAGATGGAACAGTTTCTAGTCTGGTCCAAACAAACAATCAGATAAGGAATCTTTGTAGGATCCACATGAAATGAAAATGAATATGGATTTGCTTACCCATTGAATGCCCAAAAACATGGGCTTTCTTCCAGCCCAGATGATCCAACACTGCTATTGCATCTTTTGCCATTATTTCTGTTCTGTAATCAAACAAACACGGAGAGGATGAATCAGAAATTCTGAATCACACCCACTTCTACATGTTTCACAACAACAGATTTTTTTTTTTTTTTCTTTTGAACAAATTTACAAGAGCCGAATTTAAACCGTTTCTGAAAAAAATAAAAAAAAAAACACTTATACATAACATAATGTCACTAAACTCAAAAATCCAAATACCACAACAACAGATTAAACAAACATAAAAATAATAATTTAAATGCAAATAATTCAAAAAGTCACGCCTGCCACCGTTCTAGTAATTTGCCCGTACCTATAGAGAAACGGGGCTATTACAGTAGTGGAGCCAAAGGTCCAAATACCTAACTTTATAAAAAAAAAAAAACCTAACAATGGAATAAAGAAAATGCAGATAAATTTTGGGCTGCTTTGAGCTTTTAAAGTAAGAACAGAAAGTCCACTATATTCTCCGGCAGCATTTTGCCGAAATGAAGAAACAATTACTTCGAATAAAAGCACAAGAAAGGAAAAAAATGAACTTTATGACTTTGATGTGAAGAGAAATGAATGGAAAATGACTCACGTATACTGCGATTTTCTGGTCGGCACGGAACTTCGACCCATACCGCGATTATCAAAGGCACACACCTCGACGCCACGGCCGCCATCATTGCCGGCTCCGTCCGGCTTCCCATCTCCGGCTATAGTTTCACCTTCGTTTGCCCTATCGGTGCCCGTCAACCCTTTGATTTGTGGGCCCCATGAATCGTGTGTCCCCGCCAATCCTGATCATTCCATTACCAAAAACATCAAACCCACCGGAAAAAATCAAAATTCAAAGGAAACCAAAAAAAAAAAAAAAAGCGCAAAAGAGATAATGTAAACAACCGTACCGATGATGAGGAGGACTTTGGTTGGCCCTCGACCGTACGTTCTGTAGAAAATCTGGATCGTATTGTTTAGTGCTGGGTCGGAGCTGTTCTCGTCGTTTGGCGCCTCGCAGAACGGCATGATTTTCCGGCGGCTGATTGGATTTATTTATATACACTATCAAATTCTTGATAATGTGCTTATACACACTGTATATAGATTAAACAGAAAATTGGGGTATACAAAAAGAGAAAATTTTTGACAATTAGATTTTTCTTCTTCTTCTTCTTCTTTTATCCTGAATTCCGGGAACGAATTCTCAGATTCCAGAACCGAGAAGAGAAATGAGAAAACGACGGTGGCGTCGTTATTCGGTTGGGGGAGGGAATGATTGGGACGCGTGGAGGAAGATTAGTGGAAGGTTGGGTGCCATGTAGGAAGGATGGTTCGGCGCGTGTTTAATCCAAATCGATTAGAAGAAGCACGTGTGAAAATTAAGGTCACGTTTTCACCAACAACCTGGGCCAGCAGGCCCACGTTGCCCTGGCGGCATTATCCAATGATGAAGTTGGTTTTGCAGTCCTACGGATTAACTATTTAAATATATTATTATGTTTGAATTAATTATTATTTTAAATTCATGAATGAAATTCAAACTCCACAAATATAAATTTACATGAAAAATTCTTAATAAAGAGATGATGACCACTAAGACATTCCCTTTTGAATTAATTATTTAAATATATTTTATAATAAATAAATAATTAATAATTATTATTATGTATAATTTAAAGTACTTATGTCATTTAATTAGTTAACAGTTGGATGAAACAAACACCCTTTAATAAAGTCTCAAAGTAAATTACTTTCTTAAAATTTTAACCCTCTCTAATTTGATATTTAGTTATCAATTTAATTTTTACTTAAAGCTTAACTATATAATTTTATATGATAAGCACATATCAAATAATTTTTTTTTCTTTTTATATGTAATTCTTGTTGAATATTTTTTATTAGATCAATTTTTTTTTCCATCATCATTTACTAACTATATAAAATCATCAAACTAATTTGAATAAAGTTTAGAGACTAAGACAATTAAAAAGACATAAGAGGAGTAATTAATTACACCAATCCCTGAGGTCTAATGAAAGTTTGCAGTTCAATAATTCCAGAAGATGCATATTTATATAAAAAAATGATTCTTAATTTCTGTAATTAATAAGTCTAAGCAAGCAAAGCAATTGCCATCTGTAGATCATGGCAGATATTGGAGTTAAGTTTGTCTGAGATGATCTACCACTATTATAAGCAAATGGGGAATTTAAGCAAAGGGAAACAGCCAACCCAGAGTCCAACCAAGAAGCAATCCTGCACCAGCAAGACTCAACCCCACTACAAATGCAACAGAACATTTACCGATCTCAAACTTTGGTGTTCTCTTTCCCACCTTTTGCTGACTCTTCTTCACTTGTGAGCATTTGCTTAGGACGTGTGGAAATCCAGCTGGGAAGAGAATGGAAATTGGTTGCTTTTTGTTCTTAAGCTGGAGGCAGATGTTCTCTAGCTGCAGCAGTTGGAGCCACTGCTTGTAAGCAAAGAGATGAGAAGCCTGTTGGAAGAAAAGTTTAACAATGTGATCCCTTTCGGCACATGCTTTCTCAGCTGCTTCCTCTGCTTCCCTTGCTTGTGTCTTGCAATGACATAGTGTTCCCATCACCTGATCTTTGCTAGGATCACTTCTGGCAACACTCTCCATTTCCATATGACTGCTGTTGATTGTACTAGCATCCTCACTGCGACTGGAAGTGAGAAAACATTATATTACAATGGAACACCATGGTATCTTGAACTGGTAGAATTTCATCAGATTACATCCACGTATAGATAAAGAATGTTCAGCTAAAGGTCATTTTGATGAGCAGTAATACAGGAAGAAAAAGAATCCAATGATTTTTGTTATGAAGGAAGAAACTCATTTTTCTAACATTATACGTTCAAACAAAAGCAGGAACATTACCAATTTATTTAGTTTCTTTGTAGAATTAGGATTATCTGCCAGATGATGCAAAATCTACTTGCTATAATTGCAGGGCACCTTATCATTTGTTCTCCCATAACAGAAACAATAAGATGATTCAAGAAAAATAGTATAAAAATACCTTACTAATAGTCTATCTTTGTTTTGCAACAAATGGTTCTCATGATCTAACATGCACCTGGTCTCAGCTACACCAACTGCAACAGATCTTACCAATGTATGGTCAGTAAGATTAGATAATCCCATTCCAGCAGAATGGAAAAAACTTTCTGTAGATCCAAATTGCTCCCTCCTGAATTGCTTTGACTGTGGCTGTGGAAGATCACAATTTTCAATACATTCATGAGACTTCAGAGCAATGAAAGAAGCCAATTCACCTTTGTCTGCTGTGCGCCACCATGGTTCAGTCTTCTTGACTTCCACCCACTGAGATTCAAAATCACAAGAAAGTTCATTTGGCTGTTGAAATGCCAAGTAGTCAAATTCCAATCCCATTAGATGCTTATCATCATCCCAGAACTTCCCCCTTTCACTCTTCTTAGATGTATTTAGTGCACTGCTAACAAGTATTGCCTTGGGTTCTTCTATTCTTGCATCCAGATCATTTTTCACACAAGCAGCAGAAGCATTCCATGAACAATGTTTAAAAGAATTGACATTGTTTTTTATACAAAAAGTTTTATCAGGACAGTAATCATCACTAATTTTGGGACTTCTGTTAACAAAAACAGTATCTGAAACTTCAAGTTCATCAGCCTCTAAGGCTTTTTGCTCTGCAACCATACAATTCTTCTCACTTCTAGTGTTATGTTGCATGTGTACCATCCCCTTTGACTCAGGTGGCAGCTCATGATTTTGGTTATCAAACTTGCCAATGGAGCTAGTCTGATCTGGTCCATTTGCAGCATTACCAGGTTTTCCATAAGAATACAATTTCGATGAAGAAGAAGGGCCAGCAAATTTTGGATCCCTCGAGGCATCCACTTTGACCAAATTACACTGCCAAGCAGCCCTTTCTTCTTCCGTTCTCATCACGCTCTTGGCCTTTACTGAACAAAACAGAGGCAGGAATTATGCCTGGCACAGCAAGCAATACCCCAAAGAGCAACTATTCCATTTCAAAAAGCAAAATTTTGAAGGTTAACTTATATGATGTATACCTACAACTTTACCAAACAAAACCTTATCCCAATTTTGCAACAACCTTAATCTCCATGAAACAAGCAATTCCTAAATTAGAAACACTATCAACTATTAAAAATTGGATTTTGCCAAAATAAAACTACACAATTTTCAACCTCCAACCTTATACACATTCGTGCTTATAGATTTCAACAATGTTTATGCATATTATTAAACAAGAAAAATAAAAATAAAATTGTAAAAACCCAATAAGCATACATTTCATGTGTGAATTATGACAAAATAGTTTAAATTTTGAATCCCAGAATTTAACCCGAAGAAAGCTTGGAACTTGGTAAAATAAACATGAAATTATGCAAAAACAAACGATACCCACATCAAAGAATTCCCTAAAAACCTGAAAACAGATAATCAAAATGCAAACATGCTATGAAATTCCACATGCAATGAAAAAGAACAAGAGATTGATAGACAAAGAGTAAAATTATCCCATAAATATGAAAACATGTTAAACATACATAAGGACCTGGATGATTTCTTGGAGAAGTGCCTTCATGAAGTATGCAGGGAATCCAACTTCTTTCTTCGTTTATAACGAGGTTGTCGCCGCTGCTGTAGATGAGTGTTGAAATATGTACCAAAAAAAAGAGATGAGTATTGAAATTGTAATTTCATTCTTTTAAACGTTTTCCGAAAATATTCTTTCTTGAAAAAATAATTTGAGAAAGAGAGTGAAAAAAAAAAATGGCCTGAATTTTGAATCTAGGTTTTTTATTTTTTATTTTTTGAACAATCTAGGTTTTTAAAATTTATGCATTAGTAACTAGGATTTTAAAATAGACAATGGCTTATACATAATTTTTTTATCCAATTTTTATAAAATAAAGATTATTTATATATAAATATTATGAGTTTTTCAATTAAAAAAATTTATTACTCAATTATTTTCCTTTCAAATTCTATCTTTTATAAGAGAGAAATGAAATTCTAACAAAGAAATAGACTACAATTGTAAAAATAAAAGTTGGCCGACTTGATTGATGATTTTTCCCCTAGCTCCGCCAGAAATCCCTTTTTTCTTTTCCTCAAGATTTTCTTTCAATGAATGAAGTGCCCTACCGAACACAACCTTAACTTTTAATCATTAACCATTGACTTA